CCCCCCCCCCCCCCCCCCCTATTTCATTCAATTCTTTTGCAGTGGCTTAACTTTGTATTTGAACTTGCAGGCTCCCTGGTGACTATGGTTTTGATCCACTTGGTCTTGGCAAAGACCCTGCATTCTTGAAATGGTACAGAGAGGCTGAGCTCATTCATGGAAGATGGGCAATGGCTGCTGTATTGGGCATTTTTGTTGGTCAAGCATGGAGTGGCATTCCATGGTTCGAGGCCGGTGCTGACCCAGGTGCTATTGCACCTTTCTCTTTTGGCACACTTCTTGGTACACAACTTATCCTCATGGGGTGGGTTGAGAGCAAAAGGTGGGTCGACTTCTTCGACCCTGACTCTCAGTCTGTTGAGTGGGCCACTCCATGGTCCAAGACTGCTGAGAACTTCGCCAACTTCACAGGCGAACAGGGTTATCCCGGTGGCAAATTCTTCGATCCACTGGCATTAGCTGGTACCCTTAACAATGGAGTTTACGTCCCTGACACAGAGAAGCTTGAGAGATTAAAGGTTGCTGAGATCAAGCATGCTAGACTTGCTATGTTAGCCATGTTAATTTTCTATTTTGAGGCTGGGCAAGGGAAGACCCCCCTGGGAGCTCTTGGTTTGTAAGGGGTTTCATATTAAACATTTCATTGTAAAAAGTCACTGGATGTAGAAAGAAGAAACCAAAATTTGGTTTTGTCCCTTGAGAAAATTCAAAATCTTCCCTTCATACAGTTTATGATCTTACTAACAGTTGTAACAATGCAGAGGCGGAGATATGGTAGTTAAAACCCTAATCAAATGATTCAAGAATCATGACTTTTAACATTTGAATAACGTAGTTCACTGATAAGTATAATTTGCAGTCACAAATAAAAATATGATCATAAATCAATACAGCAGAAACCTTCACAAGAATATAACTCAACCAGGAAGGTAGCATCTATGTTGCTCGGACTCTTCAAAAATGTCAACGGGTGAGTGTCGGATTCGCCAAAAGTAGTGTATTTTTGGTGAATCCGACACGGGTGTGGCATCAAAAGTGAAGAGTCCACGCAACTAAGGGTAGCATTCTCAGTGAGTTGCTGCCTTCTGGTTTATAAGACCAAAAGCTCATACAATCAGAATAAGGATTATCATACCAATGCACGGAAGGACAACGGAACCCTTACTCACAGATATAGGAAATTTGCATTCATTGTGAACCATTTCGTTTAGCCTTGGCAAGAGAAAGAAACCAAAAAGCTCATAGAACTACTCTTCAGATGATCTTTTCTTTAAAAAAAATCCCTAGTTTAACATTAATGGGGGACGATGGAGGGAGAAAGCTGATCAAGGTGCCAGAAAGTTTCCTAGTAATAGACTAATACATATGCCCTGTTACTCACTGCCTGAAGCCGTCAAGAACTCTCCCTTACAGACCACATCCCCTACTACATATCTCATTCCTTCCATCTTTGCTATTCCTAATCTTTTTTGCAGCTTGATCAGTGTCATTCACATTGCCAAAGCATCTCCAGCCACCACTGGCTTCCTGAACCTTTGTCTATCACAGCAAAAGAAGTTCTCTCTGAAGCCTCCCACTTCAGGTCACAAGCATAAAGAATTTTATTTATCTTGGTATATACCACAAAGTACAAGGTGTAGATCTCTTATAACTTTTTCCAAGAGGGAGTATCACTTATTGTCAAACAGTTCCACTTCTAGTTCTGGATATGTGGGATATCTTTGCATCCTAATCCACTTAATAGGGTACCAACTACCAAGCGTCACGTAAAATGCTTGCTCCTGTAATTTAGAAGAAACCCAAATAAGACTTTATCCCAGAGAAATAGGAGAGAGAGAAACCAAAAAAACAAACAGTATCCAACATTCCAACAGATATTATTTCCTCCTTAAACAGACGTAAGAACAATGTTTCTAACAATCTTGGAATATGGAATCAAGTTAGAAGAAATACATTATGCCTGAGAGTTATATATCAACAAAAAGAACATAAACCATACAAATTTAAAAAACTCAATTAAATGGGCGAGAAAACTGTTATATCAGCTTAATGGTTGGGTCCATGTAGAATTGTGTTCTATGTAATATACTTAGACTAGGAAGATATGTGCTAACTAATTTCTTTATCAAAAATCAATATTTTCTATAACCATCTTTTCTGTTGTTTCATTATATGATATGTTTATAACTGTCAATGTTGTGTAATTGAAATATCCTTCCTTGTTGTACCAATTCTCAAAATTTACCATGCCAACATGTCCACGATTGATCATATTTTCACATCCATTTTCCGGCTATCTAAATTAAAATGGATGGAGGAACTCACATGTATGAACAGCAATATAAATGTACCCCTAGATAGATGTTAAATGTAGAAGGAAGAACATCCTTTCTACCTATAACGATTGATCAGTGAACCCAAAAGAGTTGCCAATTTTCAATGTTGACCTTAAAGTAGAGATTCCATTTTAACATAACAGATGACATTTATATACATATAATATCCAGTTCAATCAACACTAATATAACAACTCAAGAGAGATAATATCAGAAGTCAAGGTACCTCAAGAGCTTTTCCTCTATAGAAATTCCTATGTTAAGGGGATCCTAGTCTTCATCACTACCTGTCTCTGCATCAGAAGTTCCATCGCATTCTTCAGTCAATTCAATCTCTTCTTCATCGGTCAATTCATTCTCTTCTTCATCAAGCACATTGTCCAGCTGCGGCAAAATGTCCACTCCTTTGCTTCGGTAAATTAAGCCAGTCCTCATAACATGATGAAACTTATCCCTGTGGCGTGTCAGAGGATGTGGATTTACAAGTCTCCCACGACGGTACCCCTCTCTCAATGCCACAGTCGTTGTCTTGCACTTGAGTGAGAGGTAGAATATTCCTGGATACCTAGTAAATATTCGAGTAAATCTATCTGGAAGGTATAATTCCTTTCTCAGGCTCCTCAAGTAATTTCTCTTTGTTTTCTTGTATAGTGTCAAGCTCAAGAACTCATGTAAAACCCCAACTACTCTCTTTTCCATAAGATCACTATTAGGGTCGATTCCCCTTGAATCCTCGTAAGGTGAGATGTAAGGCAGCTTCTGAAACTCATCCATCCACGCCTTGACCTTCTTCTGTGCCCCATATCCCCTTGGGAAACTCATGGGAAATTCTAATGCAGCTTTGCCCCTTTTAAATTCCCTATACCCCGCCAGAGGGCTGCTATCATCATTCATCTTTTGCAACTCTGACACAGCATATTTTTCTGGCCACTGAACAAGCTTTAAGCAAGCCAACCCATTTGTTCCCTTAACTATCCTAAAATGATCTGGAAATCTCTTATCGAAATCATCAGGCAATCCTAAATCCCATTTCAAAGGATGCAATGATTGCAGCGCCACCTGCAAATATTCAAATCAAATTTGATAAATGAGAGAGGAAGAAAACAGCTCCACATAGAGAAAACGAGCAGTACTGGAACTGTATTTTGAAATTCACAAAAATGGCATTTTATCTTGATACTTTAAAGCTTCATCAGGGAGTCTTCCCAACTTAGACAAATTGATCCAATTTTCTGCACCACCAACTACCATATACCAAAACCACAATCTGATACAAAGCATTTTCGAATTAATAGCAATCCGCTAGTTCCTCCACATTGGATACATGATGGATAAAATGAATTAACAGAAGTATAATTACATTCAAAATTGGCAATAATCCTAAGAAACGCAGTCTTACTACAGTTTTCATAGAATACTTAGTACCTTCTAAAAAAAAGATCCTCAAGAAAAGCTCCTTCTTTAGCAACAAGATATGGAGCCAAATGATTAAAAAAAAAGTGTTAAAAGAATTACCATTCTGTTGGTTGTCATCATAAGAACTTTGGAAAGTCTTTCAACCAAATCACTCTGGTTATCTTCAAAGACCTTCAATTCTTGATCATGAAGAATTTTAGCAATCTGGGTAAGCTTAAAACAAGGCAAAGATTGGTACTTCGGGTGAGGAAACTCCTCAAAAAGAGTTGGGTATCTTCTAATAAACCTAAGTGTAGGAACTGTAAGCCCAAGAAGTTTTTGGGAATCAGCAAGCGACTTAGCAGTAAGATACCCAACTGGTGAACGCACAATTGCGTCTTTAAGTAAACAAGCTGCTTTAAGGTCCGTTTGAACATCGATTATATGGTCCAAACCTCTGTTTTTCACCCATTTCAAACGGACTTTTACTATGGTTCTATGTTGCTGAAGATTGTGATAATGTGAAACAATGTTTTGGGTGGCTATGGATTTTAGGGTTGAGAATAGAGATTTTTCTAACAAATTCATATGTGGGTTTGGGCTTGTGAGTAAGAAAATTTGGTTGCATAAATGGTTTGGGGGCTAGGGCAATTGACAGTGGGTTTTGCAGAAGGGAAGGAAACAAGAACTGGGGGAAGGGGTGAATTAATGAAAATATTAATTACACTAAACACCTATAATATGACTCAAATTGCCTTCTTTTAAAAAATAAAAAATAAGTAAACTCGATTGGTTCGATTCTCCCGGATTAGGCACAAGTTTATAAAGTTCGCCTCTTGTCCCAATTGAGCAGATATGGATGTGTTTGTGCGTTCTTGATGACATGGGACATATTTTTCATGAAATGTTTCTTGATGAAATGTACATATGTTTAATTTGACTTGTCCTAAGACTTACGTCCATGGGTCACGTTTTGCAAGTTGATTAAGTTTGGAGTCAATAACTAGAAAAATAGGTTCTATGCATTGATGGTTTAATATTAAATTATTGCGCATATAAGTTAATATAAATGACAAAATAAACCTAGTATCTTAGGGATCGTTTGGTGTGAGGGATAGAAATAAATAGTGATGAGATAAGAAAATAGTGATGCGATAAAGTTTTTGTATCTTGTTTGGTTGTCATGTTTGGGACAACTTATCCCACCATTTATATCATAATTCATAGCAATAGGATAAGTTATCCTAGGATAGCTAACCCCAAGATAACTTATCCTGGGATAACTTGTTTCCAATCAAACGATATGCATTAGGGTACAAGGTTAGTAGATAGTTGAGAGTTCTCTCTTTCTGCGGGATAAGCTTTCACTACTCTTGTAGTTTCTTGATCTTCAATTTTGGCTTTCACTAGTATGTTTTGGCACCAATTATTGCATTATTTAGTTTTCATTACTGTTCTTTCTCTTGTTTGTTATGTAACACTTTCCAATTCACATTAACAGTATTATTGTGATTGCCCCCATATTTGCATAAATTGTTTGGCAGGGTTTTTTTTTAAAACTAAGAGGTCGTTTGGTGTAATGGATAAGAGAAAATAGTCCTGGAATAACTTTTTTAGTGCCTCTTTATTTTTTGTTTGGTTACAAAGTATGGGATAACTGATCCCAGGATTAATAAATAATACTGGGATAAGTTATCCCTTCCTCTTGGTGGAATAACAATACCAAGATAACTTATCCTAGGATAAAACAATCAAAATGACAAGAATATTCTTGAAATCTATTTGATTATCACTTTTCATATCTTTATTCCACATTTGTAAAGTTGCTGAAATTTTTTTGCTGCTCATGAGATGTTGTTTTGATAAATTTCAAATAAATCTATAATTTTAGTTTGATAAAATTATTCAACTGTTTGAGTCCTTTTTGAACTTTGTTTCTTTTGCAATTGGTTAAAAAGTTAATTTTGCAACGAGAAATGTTATCAAATTTACCAAATTTCAATTCAATTATGGTTATTGTTATTGTGCAGTTTTTGCTCCACTTTTGATTCATTTATATTTGTCTAATTTTTTGCTAATGACGGTAAAGAAAAGATGCTCCCCACTAACCTCAATAGCTTGCTCCAGTTTTGATTCATGTGGATAGTAAACTTATCAATAATTGAGATTCATTTGATTTTATTTTTAAGAGTGAGTAACTAAAAACTTTATAAAAAACTATATATAAAAAGCTAAATAAGATAGAGGGTATTTTCGTAAACAAATAACTAATTCTTAGAAAGCATCCAATGCTTATTAGTTATAATACAACAAACCAAACAAGCAATAAAAACTAATCCCAACATAACTTGTTTTCGAACCAAACAACCCCTAAGGGTCTTCGGAAAACACTCCCTCTATCTCTACAAAGTAGAAGTAAGGTCTGTGTAAACTTTACCGTCCTCAAACCTCACTTTTAGTTGTCGCTCACAAATTTCAACTACTGCAATGTCATTTACAAACTTTTTTTTTTCTCTATTTTCACTAAGATGTCATTTTCTTAGGGAACCCAATATCTTCTTATTTGAGAGAGGGGCATTACAGACCCCATGTAGAGGTGTCCACGTGTATGGTTACGAATAGGGGACATAGAGATGGAGCTCAACATCTCATTGGTCCGAAATCTATCCACTAGATTTCATCTGCAGATTTCATTTATCCTACTTGGCTACTTACCATCTGCCCTCTTTTGATCTCATGACCATATAACCAGGAATCTCACTTCAATATTCAAAAACAGAAACTTTGCATTTGCAGTTTACCACTATCCAAAATAAACATGACCACCACATCTGCTGCTGCAGTGCTAAATGGCTTGAGCTCCTCTTTCTTGACTGGTGGCAAGAAAACTCAAGCCTTGTTAGGTGCTCCTGTTACTGCCAGAGTTGCCACTCCCAAGAGGTTCATTGTGGCAGCTGCTGCTGTTGCTCCCAAGAAATCTTGGATTCCTGGTGTAAAAGCTGGTGGCAACTTGGTTGACCCCGAGTGGCTCGATGGCTCGTAAGTTTACTTTTACATACACAGTTTAATTCCCTCCCCTCCTCTTATTTCATTCATTCTGTTGCAAAGGCTTAACCTTGTATTTTGTACCTGCAGGCTCCCTGGTGACTTTGGTTTTGACCCACTTGGTCTTGGCAAGGACCCTGCATTCTTGAAATGGTACAGAGAAGCTGAGCTCATTCATGGCAGATGGGCAATGGCTGCTGTATTGGGTATCTTTGTTGGTCAAGCATGGAGTGGCATTCCATGGTTTGAGGCTGGTGCTGATCCTGGTGCTATTGCACCTTTCTCTTTTGGCACACTTCTTGGCACTCAGCTTCTCCTCATGGGTTGGGTTGAGAGCAAAAGATGGGTCGACTTCTTCGACAATGACTCTCAGTCTATAGATTGGGCCACTCCATGGTCCAAAACCGCTGAGAACTTTGCCAACTTCACAGGCGAACAGGGTTACCCTGGTGGCAAATTCTTCGATCCTTTGGCATTAGCTGGTACACTTAACAATGGAGTTTATGTCCCCGACACAGAAAAGCTTGAGAGATTAAAGCTTGCTGAGATCAAGCATGCTAGACTTGCTATGTTAGCCATGTTAATTTTCTATTTTGAGGCTGGACAAGGGAAGACACCCCTTGGAGCTCTTGGTTTGTAAGAGATTCATATTAAACATTTCACTGTAAAAGAGTCGTTGAATGTAGAAAGAAAGTAACCAAAGCTTGAATTTGTCACTTCAAGCTTTTCCCTCTTGAGACAGTTATCTCTTACGAATTCTTTATGCTCTGGCCCAAATGGGACAGTATATAAATTGTAACAATGCAGAGGTAGCAATATGGTAGTAGAAGTTCCAATTAAATTATTCAATAATCATGACTTAAAACTGAAGAACCTAGTTCAAGAATGAGTATAATTTGCAGTCACAAATGTAAATTTGACTAAAATGCTGCACAAACTCTCACCAACTAAATAATTCAACCAGGATGGCAGAATTGTCAGTTATTTACTGCCTCCTGGATTATGAGATAAATATAATCATACAACCAGAATCAAGATTGTCATAACAATGCACTCAAGGAGAAAGGGACCTTGTCACAGATACAGGCATTCACATTCATCCTGTTTATCTTTGGCAGGGAAAGAAACCAAAAGCTCATAGATTGCAACAACTCTTCAGATAAAGAAAATTATGAGATTCCCTAGTTTAACATTAATGGGGCAGCTGGATGGAGGAAAGAACTGATCTAGATGCTAGGAAAGTTTCCTAGTAGTAGCTTTCACAGCATTATTCACTGCCCGTAGCCATCAAGAATTCACCCTCGCAGACTACATCCCCTCCTACATATGCCTTACCTTCCATCTTGGCTATTCCAAAACGTTTTTGTAGCTTGATCAGTGTCATTCTCATTACCAAAGTATCTCCAGCGATCACTGGCTTCCTGAACCTTACTTTGTCTATTCCAGCAAAGAAGAAGTTCTGTTTGGAGCCTCCAACTTCAGGTTGGAGCATGACCAAGCCACCAACTTGGGCCATTGCCTGGATTGATAGAAACAGACACTCATCAGACTTTGATAAAATTAAAACCTTGCAGCAACAAAGGTAAGATAACCAAACAAGTAGAAATTTAGACAACTCCATCTAAATAAGTTAAACAGAAGAAGAAAATAAGTGATGAACTTTGCACAATTCTGCAATACAACTCATCCTACCTATACCATTAACTTCCCTTTTCCTCATAAATTGTTATAATAGTTTTTCATGTTAAATTGAATTCTAGAATTTCCATCTACAAAGAAAGATTTACGTTGTAGTTCTGCCTGTATTTAGTAAACCCAAATCCTGATAATCTAATACTCTACGATTTGAGATTAGACTGATATGTTAGGAACAAATCCGAAAAGGCTGGAGATCAGGACTTCCCCACTGTCATAGAGAATAGGTCCATTGAAAACCTGGGGAGGTACAGCTTTATCAGTAACTAATGTCATTTAGCATTCTCTGAGGCCATCAACGTGTGATCCTCCATGCTTTTTGTACGATAACAATGGAATCAAGCTATTGCCTTTTCACTTAGACTTACTCTACTTCCACTTCTATTATCCAGCTTCAGAACAGCCTGTATATTGCTAGAATTAACGCACATAATCTTCCATGTTATAATGACATTTGGATCAAGAAGCACCACTAGAGAAGGCTCCAATAAGGATATATCATAATAGTTAAGGAGGAATTTGGTGTCTAAGCACATGGCGGTTTAAGCACTTTGTAATAGATATCACAAATACTGTCTTTTTCAAATGTGAGACAAAAATTGGTGCGCTACACTATTAAATTGTGGTATGAGTATGACGGTTTTTAATAGTGCATAACCGTCTTCCAAAAGGTTCGAGTGAGTATGAAGATAAAAGGACGATGACTTTCTTTCAACCAGAATACTCAAGCATTTGCAGGAGCTAGCTCTGAATGTTCACAATCAAAGAAGATAATGAAAAAGGAAATGAGCAAAAGGTTAAGGACATAATATGTGATTTTCTTCCCAAATTAGTACATAGTATGTGATGTTTTAAAAGCTTCCCTTAAAATCCTACTATTGTAATAACATTTCACTCGTGTTCCAATTTCACAAAATGCCAGGAGATTCTTCCTATGAACAATTTGGTCATAGTGAAAAATGTCATAAAAGATTCATTAATTATAAGAAAAAATTCCAGTCAGCAGAACATAAAATACTATTCACTTTCACTTTTCTTTTTGATAGAGGATTAAATTTCAGCTATCTTCTGGCTCTCACAATTTTACTTGGACAAAAGAACCAAGATGGGAAAAGAAAGTTAATTAGTTCAGGTAGAAGAGAATTCTGAAATAATAAAAGATCTTTATGTGGATACCTAAGAGATCAAAGAAAAATCCGGTTTAATAAATATGTCAAAAGCTCAAGTCCAATTCATCCAGTTAGCCCCATTTTCTGAATAGATTTATTATTTTCTTTAACTGTGGAACACTCAGTGGGTCAATTATCTCGTGAACTTTCATAACTCATTAGAATCCCTCTTCCAAGTAATATTGAAAACCAAGCCACAAAAAGAGCAACTCAAAGTACGGATTTCACTTATCTGTTTAATTACAACATGAACCAACATGCTATATGGAAAAGTTTAGACATTAAAATCTGAAATAGGTGATAGGAAAACTAATTCATCCAATTTCATAGTTTTGAAAAGCTATACCACATTCAATAAGAAACCGAAAAGATAGAACCTTTAACTAATGCAAATGGAAATTCAGTCAGTTTCATGGAATAACAGACAAGTCATAAGCATACCTCAACCATGAGGACACCAGGCATGATTGGCCTCTCAGGGAAGTGTCCAGGAAAGAAATTATCATTGATAGTCACATTCTTGATGGCCACAGCTGACACTCCTGGATTGTATTCAATCACTCGATCCACTAGAAGAAACGGAAAACTGAATACAATGCAGCTCTCATCAGTAAAGTAATCAATCCATTATGCCTCAATCCTAAACTAGTTGGCCACAAGTCCTAGAAATCTATCCAACCCCATTCACGTCAATTTCATACCCCAATACTAAATAATTTATCGTGTCAAGTCATTAATGAAACACAACAAACAAACATTTTTACAAACAGATAACAAAATGCATACCGATGGGGTAAAACCTCGCGAATCTGATTGATATCCATCACAGTAGGAAATGCTGGGTACCCTGTAAGCAAATCAAGATTCCAAACATTAGAACAAGCAAAAGCAAAAAAAAAAAAAAACAAATAAACGCACTAATTGCATACTCAATTCAATTGGGGTTTCGATTTTGGAATCATTGTCTGGAGCAGCACAGTTAGTGATGACACTATTCCGTATCTTCTTGCAATGGGTGGACAATGAATGAGATCTGAAGGTAACAAGAGATTGTTTGAGCATCGATGAGGGCAATGGAAAAGAGGCATTCTCAAATCTTTGAGAAGTGGGGGTGGAAAAGACAGATTGGGATATAGCCATAGAAGCCATTGAAAAAAAGGGGTCTTTGGAGAAGACGAATTGGGGGCGACAAAAACGAAGTGGTTTTTAGGCTTTAAGGTGAAGGAGATTTGAAGGAGAAGAATGAAGTGGAGGCGGAGATAACAAGGTTGATGAGACTTGGAAGAACCGAACAAGTTGAACAACCTTATTAGTGTGACCAATCTATACACAGAGTTGTTTGGCTAACCAACCTGAGTTGTGGGATGGTTGGACCTAAAGGGGTCTTTATTTGGCTGAATTTGATCGGGCTAAAATAAATTGAATTATTTATTTATTAATTTTTAGTATTTAATAAAATTATTATTTTTTATTATGATTTTATATATCATATAAAATAAAAATATGTCTCTTTAAATATATTTTGAAAAAAAATTCTCCGTGAGTAAATCTGAACTACATATTAGTTCAATTTTCAATTGGTTACAATGAGTCGAACTAGAAAATAAATGGGTCAATTACCCACCTAAGCTTGAACGAATTGAGTTTGATTTTTGTCATCTATGATCTAACCCTTTGATTTCAGTAGTGTGAATCCTCTTGGAAATGTCCCTCCAAAAATATAAAAAAATATTAGTTCCACGTAAATATAAAAAAAATATTATCTCATTTATAAGATTATTTGTTTTTATCTATTTCATCAATAATGTTCAACATAACAACAATTTTTTGAAGGCAAAACTAATTTTTACTACTAAATATTAATCACTTTTCAAGGGATAATTTGATTTTAAATTGAATTTTTGATTTGGCTGAACATAGTGACTCCTTATTCATTAAAGGGAACATTTCTTTTTGGTACCATTGTTAGGCGGGTCTAACTATTACCTTTTAAAACATAACTTATTCTTATTTTTTAGCAGTTCGAATCGTTTCATTTCAAAACATCGCCCCCAAATTTAAAAATAAAATAAAATAAGTTGAGCTAGATTTCTCATAAATATACGAAATGTTAATTAATCAATGAAAGAAGGTTTCAAATAATAAAATATTATCTTATTTTATTTATCTTTAGCTAGTTTAGTCTTCTCAAATAAAGAAATCAAATCAAAATCAATTTTCTTCTTGATAAAAAAAAAATACATACCTATGTGAAATATATAAAACGTTTAGCAAAAAAAATGAAATTTCTTGATCAACATAAGTTGTTGACTTCAGAAACGAATACTACAAGAAAAATGTGTATTAATTTTGGGGAATTAGTCCCTAAAAAGTCTAAAACTGGTTCTTAAAAGGGAAAACTACATAAATCTCACTAGTCTAGGTCCTAATTACTAAGATTCCCAATAGTTTTAAATATTACTTCCTCTACCATATTTCATGATTAGGATACATGAGTTTGAATCTGTGAGATACATGAATCTGCCGAATTTTAAAACTGAGATACGTATTTTATTTATTTAAATTAGTTGATTGTAACTGATTTCCTTAATTAGTGGAGTAATTGAGGATTTTCAGAATATATGGACGATTAATTTTGAATTTAAATTAATCAAATCCTTTAAATTTAAGGCAGAAATCAGGAAGTATATCTATGTTTAATAAATTTCATTTTATTATTATTTGAAAATAATAAAATTCATTAATATTATTAATAAAAGACAAAAACATGTATATTTTGGTTATGTAATTTGATTAATTTCATTTTATTATCCTTAAAATAATAAATCATTAATTTGATGTATCTATTATCAATATATAATGTATTCAACAAACTAA